CTTGGGGGCTCCTACATGTGTGTTTGAAGAGATGGGGGCGCTATCGGTCTAGCGTCTAGCGGCTCCGTGATCGCCGTCGCCGACCCGTGACCGCCTCGTCGCCGTCCGTCGTCTGGGCGGGGTTGTCGGTCTGGCGGCTCTGTGCTCGCGGGCGCGGCCCCGTCGCCGCAGCCCGTGGTGTGGGCGTGCGGGGTTGTTGGTTTGGCGGCGCCGTCGTCGCCGTCGCCGCCCAATCGTAGCCGTGGCCGCCCCGTCGCCGCCTCGTACGGATTCTCCTTTTCTGGAAGGAAATTCGATTATAACCCCATCCCGCCCCGGAATCATCCGTTGTTGGTCTCGCTTGCGACTTGAAATATGATCCTGACTCCTCGTCCATCCGAGATATGAATTCATGCCAGCCGACCGCCCCACCATCCCTTGCAAAAGATACTATGCGCGCGCTCTCGTTTATCAGAAATCACATGTTTACAACAATCCCTTGTAAGAAACGGGACGAAGTCTACACGCGCGCGTCGTCACGCGGGCGTGCCGGAACCCTTCAAAAACCTCGGGCGTCGTAAGGATTTCAAAACGAATGCAACGGGAGCACATACAAACACACGGTCTTGCAACAATAATTGCGCAGACCGAAAATGCACTCGCAATCTTGCATTTCAAGGAAACGAATGCTTATTTTTCAACATATTCATGACACTCTTCCAAATTGGCCTCTCGCGCGCGCGTCGAACTCGTTCGAACGCCCTTTGCGCGCGTGATGCGTCAAGGATGCTTCGCAATAAACGGGACGACGTGCACGCGCGCGCGTCGTCGCGCGCGCATGCCGAAACTAAGGGGAAACTCACGCGTTCATCAGGAGTTCAATAACGACTGCCCCGAGAACATATAAAACACACACGGTTGTGCAACTTTAATGTACGAAAAAAACCCAGCGCTCGCGTTCATGCGGATTCTTAAGGACACCACCTTTTTCTACCACAGAATTACACATGAGAAAACCCCAATCAGTGGATGAGTTGAGAATCAATACAATGGATCTTGAGATCGATTGTGAGATCGATAATGACATCGATAATTGGAATCGATAGTGAGGACGAGTGTCAGGTTGATCGTGGCACCGAGAGTGAAACATCGATTAAATGAGATCGATAGTGAGATCGATCGCGAGATCGCTCATGCGATCTCTAGCGAGATCGCTTCTGAGATCGATCATGAAATCGATTGTGAGATCGATGGTGAAATCGATGGAGGAGTGGGAAATGAGACCGATGGCGAGACCGATCGCGATAAGAAAATCGGCAAGGGACCCGGGAACCCGAAAACCTCGCCGCCCTCCGAAATCGGCCTGGGACTTGGAATCGGGAACCCGGGAACCCGGAAACCCAGCCAGCAACCAAAATCGGCGGGACACTTTCGCCAAATCCTTCAACATCCGCGAGGACCCCTTCAGTGCACGCACTGATTGGGGAAATACAATGGTTCTTGAAATCGATTGTGCGAGCGACAATGACATCGATCGTGGAATCGATAGTGAGGACGATTGTAAGGTCGATCGTGAAACCGAAAGTGAAATCGATTCAATGAAATCGATAGTGCGATCGATCGCAAATCGCTCATGCGATCTCTAATGGGATCGCTTCTGAGATCTATAGTACATGGGAATCGATTGTGAGATCGATTGTGAAATCGACAGGGAAATGGATAATGAAATCGATGGTGAGAGAGACCGATCGGTAAGAAGATCGACCAAGAACCTGGGAACCCGGGTACCTCGCCGCCCTCCGAAAAAGGCCCCGAACCCTGAGACGGGGACCCGGGAACCTGGAAACGGTAACCCGGTAACCCAACTTGCGCCAAATCTTTACACCTCTGCGAGGACACCTTCAATGCAAGCGCTGATTGGGGAATCATCGAATTCCGCCAAACGGACCTCTCGCGCCGCATGTCGACCACATTCGAATGCCATTGCGCGCGTGCGGGGGGGCGGGGGGAGGGGGGCACCATCCGTGTCCAAAAATACCACGCGGACCAATCGCGCGCGTCGGCCGCGCGCGCATGTGGAACTCTGTTATAAACCGAACCTCCCATCGCCGACGCGACGACATCGTCATCGTTAGCGGCGGGAGTGATTCGCATCGGCGCCGTCATTGGCCTTGCCGTAGTCAACGCCACTTTCGCCACCATCGTTTTTTTCATGATCGCGTTTCTCGTTGTCGGCGTCGCCATGATACCACGCCCGCCCAAGTCACCGACTCGCACTGAACAGTCCGAGGGGATGTGCCCCGCGGCCTGCGCCAATGCAGCCGCGTTGGTCGCGCCAAGCTATATGGCCGCTGTTCGCGTGATCGTGCGCGGGCTATCGCGGCCGCGGACATGCACCAGCCAACTCCAAGCTGTCATGTCAATCGCCGCCGCATGGGCTTCGCAACGCGGAGCATTTGCAAGAGCATAATATTTGTCAACTCGCTTGGGGTTGTCACTTTTTTATAGATATAAAAAAGTTTTTTGTAATACAAAAACGGTTCTACAACCCTTCTTCCCCCCAGACTTAACGATCCACCTTGTCGCATTGCAAATTACATATAATCCTGCCCCATCGCACCGATATCGTTCCCCTCCATCCTTTGCACAATATGCTATGCGCGCGCACTCGTTTTTTCAAACATCACAGTTTTTGGAATACTCCTTTGCAACAAATGAGACGAAGTTCGCACGCGAGCGTCGTCGCGCGATCATGCCGATTTCTTTCAAACAAACCATAGGTTTTGGATGGATGTGAAAATCGAGATTCCAAAGCAGGAGCATACAAAAACACAAGGTTATTGCAGCACGTGCTTTTCCCAAAAAAATGCGCGCGCGCTTTTGCGAAATCTTGACAACACCAGGGTTTGTTCAATAGTGACAGGAAATACTACCAAACGAACTGCGCGCGCGCAAGCTTCGCGCGCGCATGTCAAGTCGAAATCGATCGAACGCCCTTGCGCGCGTGCCGTCGCGAGAATCCTCTGCAGAAGCCGGACGAAATGAACGCGTGCACGTCGTCGCGCGCGCATGCCGAAATCCTTCGGGAACCGGTGGTTCCGGAAAGATTTCAGAATCAAGCGTCCATTAAAACTTACAACACCACAGGGTTTCCCAACACGGAATTTCAACAAAAACCGTGCGCGCGCCCTTGCGAATTCTTAAGAAAACCATAATTTGTTCAACCGTTTCGTAAAATGCGACCTAACGAGCTTCGCGCGCGCGCAGGTCGAAATCGTTCGAACGCCTTTGCGCGCGTGCTGGGGCGGCACGATCCGTGTCAAATTCGCCGGCCCAACGGGCCAGAACCGTGCTAAGATCCCTGGCAACTGGTTGACAATATTTTTAGTTTTGCGCGCGCGGAACGGCCCGCGGGGGCCCCGGGACGAAAAATACCCAGGCAAGGTCCTGGGAGAAACCACCGAGGCACTCCAGAGGAAGGCCATTTTTCGGCACCCCTCATGAGAATCGTGGCCTCCGAGGGGGGAGCCGCAATCGAATTCCCCCTCCCGCCCCAAGAGGCCCCCAAAAGCCCCCCAAGAAACCCTGGGAGCCCCCAAGACGCCGCCAAGGAGCCCCAAGACACGCCCAAGAGGGTCCCAAGAGGCCCCAAAAAGGCCCTAAAGAGGGCTCCAGGGCCGACGGACTGATCGAAACGATTAAATAATACCATGCGAACCACTTTCGCGCGCCTGCCGAGCGCGAATCTCGAAATACTTTCGCGAACTTCATCCACCGCCACTATCATAATCATCGTGTGTAGAATTGTCATCACCAACATCGCCACTATCATCGTCATCGCGTCTACAATAGTCGGCGTTGCCATGATACCGCACCCGCCCAAGTCGCCGACTCGCACTCAAGTGCCCGCTAGGATGTGCCGAGCGGTCAGCATCACCGCGGCCGGCTGGTCGCGCCAAACTATCTGGCCGCTGCGCGCGAGCATGCGCGGGATGGCGCTGCCGCAGAGTTGTACAAGCCAGCGACAAGCACTCATCGCAATCGCCGCCGCTTGACGTTTGCAAACCAACTTGCGGGTGGGTGGGTGGGATGTTTGCGCGAGCAGTGGAGTGGACAACTCACTACGAACAAAAACCTGTTCCATTGCATAAATTGCACCGCCAAGGTTGCAACACAGAAAACATCGAGCTCCCCTTTCAAACTTAACGGTTCCCATTTGTGCATTGCTAATTACATGCGGCTCTGCCCCACCGTCCACCCGGAATACGAATTCATCTCATGCAAATCCAACCGGCATCGACCCCCCTCATCCTCTGTGGCCAACGCAAGTTTCATGCGGTTCTGCCTCACCGTCCACCCGAAATACGAATTTATCTCATGCCAATCCAACCCGTATCGACCCCCGTCCTCCTCTGTGGCCAACGCACACCATTTTTTTCGAAGAGCCATCACAATCAAAATGGAACAATTGCAAGTGCGCGCGTCGTCGCGCGCGCGCATGCCGGGGCCCTTCAAACAACTATAGTTTGGTACGGGTTTCAAAATTGAGTGTCCCGGAAACATAAGCAACACATGGCTTCGCAACAATTAAAACCTGCATTCGTGCTCTTGCTAACTCTTTTTTTTTTTCAAAATATCGTTTTCTCGAATGTCCGAATCATGTTACCAAGCGGGCCTTTTGCGCGCGCGTGTCGGAAACGCAAAGAAAACATTGCGCGCGTGATGTCGCAACAACACGGGGCGACATGCACGCGCGCGTCGTCGCGCGCGCATGCTAAAACCCCTTCGCAAACCCAGGTTCCAAAAGGATTGCAAGAAACGGATGCCCAAACACAATTAACAACATATGGCGTTGAAGCTGCAGTTATCAAAAATGCCTGCGATCGACCTCCTGCGAAATTGTAAGAGCACGATGGGTTCTCAACCTTTGTTTTCAACTCGGCCAAAGAGGGGCCCTCGCGCCGCACGTCGACACACATGCTTGCCCTGGGGGCACGACCCGCGTCAAGCGCCGTCATCGTCGTCGGCGTGATCAGCATCGGCGCCGTCAATGGCCTTGCCGTCGTCTTTGTGATTCATCGTCGCCAACATCGCTAGCATCATCATCGCGTCAACCCGTCGACGTTGCCATGATAACGCGCACGCCCAAGTCTCGACTTGCACAGAAGTGCCCGTTGGGATGTGCCCCGCGGCCAGCGCCACCGCGGCCGCATCGGTAGCGCCGAACTGGCTGGCCGCTGTGCGCGCGAGCATGCGCGGGCTAGCGCGGACGCACACATGCACCAGCCAACTCCAAGCACGCATCGCGCTCGCCGCCGCATGGGTTTTGCAAACCAAGTTGCGGGCGGAAGGGTGAAAGTATTGCGCGAACAGTGGAGTGGGCAACTAACTGCGAACAGAACTTAAATGCACAGCATAGGTCGCACTACACACATGGAACAGCACGGATGGCACAACAGACGTCACACCACACAAAGAGCTCACCATATGTATTGATCCACATCTTTCGCACAACATGTGCTGCAACAGTACTGATGCTCCACAAAGGATGCACAGCATGTGATGCTGGAGCCGCACTGTTAGGGGTCAACAGTGAACAACATCCAGAAACATCAGAAACGATACGAACATCTCCTGGGGCATACGGGGAAACAAATTGCTCACCCCTCCGAAGAACATCCGAATGCATCAAAACCCGACCAAGACCTCCGAAAACCTCACATCGGGGATTGTGCTGGCCCAAAGTGCCCCCAGCTTCTCGCTCCTCTTTGGAGCTCCTGGGGCCTGCTAGGCCACGTGAAGAATTATCTGGACAGTGGATGACTGACTAGGAACCCTGCGGATACTTCAAGGCAGGGACGCCTCTGGGAACACCCGATCTCAACAAACGTACCGAACTTGCCGAGAGCTTCGGGCAGCGATGGAGCGGCTCACCAACGTGGTTCACGGCCCCTGCGGTGGCGTCCCCAAACTTGACGGGGCCAGACCACAAGCCGCGGTAATCCTCGCGGGCGTTGCAGGTGCCGCGTCGTTTTCCGTCGCCGCCGCCGTCGCCGTTCGCCGTCTCCCGCGCCCTCCTCGTCGTCATGCCCTCCTCCCTGGACTCATCTCCTCCTCCCCCCCCCTCCTGCTCCTCCACCTCGACCTCATCCTCCTCCTCCTCTTATGCTTCTTCCTCCTCCTCCTCCTCCTCCTCCTCCTCCTCCTCCTCCTCCTCATTCCCCTCCTCCTGCTCCTCCTCCTCCTCCTCCTGGATTGCCAGACGGGGCTCCGCGCCCCAGCCGGGGCGGTGCGCGGCCCTGGGTGCGCCCCGGCGGGGCGAGGCGAGGCGGAGGCGAGGCGGCTCCCAGTTCGCCCAGGAGGGGCGGCCGCGCGAGTCGGGCGCTCCCTACTGGGGGGGCGATAGACGGGGGGGATACATAATCGGGAGCGACCAAGAGGGGGTCCAGAGGGGGGGGGGGGGGGGCAAATCATGACCGGCGGCATAGATGATGGGGGGGGTGAGAATGGTGCACCTGTCGTGCACATTGCGCACCACTCCGGGGCCCCTTCAGGGCCCTGAGAGGCCCTCCGGAGTCCCCGGAAGTCTCGACCCATTCCCCAGGACCGGTTTTTAATCCTGAGTCGCTTCTTGCCGGTCCCGAGGCCCGGCGAGGGCCCCTGGGGGCCGACATTTGCGAAAAACCTCCGTCTTGATTTTTGTTCAATGCGTTGGATCTCTGGGGGCCCCTCTCGTGCAACCCTCGACGCCCCCCCCCTCATTTGTCGCCCCCCCGTGGCCGCACGCCCGAGCGCCCGGGCGCCGCGCATCCGTCGACCGCCAGGGGGTAAGCTGGAGGGGCCCAGGGACACACAGGCAATTACACCAGAGAAGAACCCCAATCAGAGGCTGGTTTTCGCTACGGAGATCGACCGGGAACCCACTGAAATCGGCCCGGAACCAATAACCCGGGAACCCAGGACCCCCGGACGGGAATCTGGAACCGGGAACCTGGGAACCCAGCCTGCCACCAGAATCGGCGGGAAACTTTCGCCAAAGCTTTCAACCTCCGCTAGGACCCTTCAGTGCAAGCACTGCTTGGGGAAATACGCACACAAAACCCAAGGTTCCTGATACCTCGTCGCGTGTTCTGGAGGTTCGTCTTCCCCCCTCCTTTCCCACAGGTTCCTATTTTTGTTCCTGGGGGTCGAGGGTTCATTGTGTCTGTGTGGTATTTTGTTCCCCTCCGGTTAATTTCGCTATACTGGTGTACAAGAAGGGCCCGACCACAAAGAACTTTCCCCGAGGAACCCAACCCTGAGACCCCAGGACGTGCATCGATTTTTGGTGTGGGAACGTCACGCTTTCCAACCAAACCATTGAGACCCAAGAAACCCAGGGCACCCTGGAGGCAAGCAGGGTGTTTCTTGGCATGGGCCTCCACTGTATCCGAAAGCGTGTTCAAACTCCCCAACATCGCAAACTTCTCCAGAGGGCGCCATTGCTCGCAAGCCTGGCACAGGCGCCAGCGGCGGCTGCGCAGCGAGGCGAGGCGCCTCTTGCGCTTGGACGCTGCGCGGCGCTGCTTGCGGCACCATCACGGCAGAACGATGCCAGCCTCCAGCAGTCGCAGTGCTGCTCTGGCCAAGGCGGCCTCCAAGTGGCTCTGTCGCTTCTGTACACACCCGACGACTGGCAAGGACAGGTGGAGCAGCGCGCCCATGCCTGGCTGTGCACGTGCGGTCGTGCCAAGGGGGTCTGCTACTCCTACAAAGCTGATGCCAAGCCACCTCAGCCGTCGGTCGAGAAGCAGCGTACTGGCGCAATCGCCAAGGACCAGTCTGCTGAACCGCAGGAGGCTGTGCAGGAGAACAAGCAGCCAAAGCAACAGCTGCATCAGCTCACCATCAGCATCATTGTCATCAGCGCCAGCATCGAAGTAGTCGTGATTCCCATCAACATAATCACTCCACATCTGGGGCATCTTTGTCGCTACCACCACCACAGCAGCCTCATCATCACCAGCATCATCAGCATCATCCTCAGCAGCATCATGATCAGCTACATCATCATCAACTTCATCAGCATTGTCGGCATCATCAGCGTCAGCAGTATCATCCTCATGCTCGGCATCATTCTCAGCATCATCATCATCATCCTCATCATCATCATGATCATCAGCATCGTAATCATCGTCATCATCATCCTCATCATCACACCTATCATCAACATCAGCATCAACATCAACATCAACACCAACAACAACATCAACAACATCATCAACCTCAACATCCGCATCCGGGTCATTAAAATTAACATCATCAACGTCATCAGTCTCCACCGTGTCATCCTCGTCATCACAAGCATCAGCATCAGCATCAGCAACATCAGTATCAGCATCAGCAAACGCATAGGCATTATCAGCTTCACCACCATCATGGTCAGCATCGGCATGATCAGCATCATCATCGTCACCATCACCATCATGACCATCATCATAATCAGCATCGGCATCGTCGTCCACAGCATCAGCATCATCACCATCGTCATCATCATTGGCACCATCATCATTTACACGTCAGCACCATCATCGTCATCAGCAACATCAGCATCAACATCAACATCAACGAAACACATTACCATCAACATCATCACCATCATCATCCTCATCATCATCAACATCACCATCCTCCTCCTCCTCCTCCTCCTCATCATCATCATCGTCATCATCATCATCATCAACATCATCACCACCACCCCCATCTCAATCGCCGTAATCCCCGTCATCATCATTTTTTCCCCATCATCATCATCATTGCCATCACAATCCCGAAGCCTTCCGCTCCCCCTCCCCCTGTCCCCCTCCTTGACACCATCTCCTCCACCTCCGCCCCCCTCTTCACCCTGACCCTGCCCCTCCTGCACCCGCATCCCGCCGAGGGGAGAGACCGAGGGCGCGGGACGCCACGGGAGGACGCGCGGACGCGGATGGCACGGCGCAGAGCCCCAGGCAGAGCGGGGCCCCAGGGCGTCCAGCACGCCGTTGCTCACCAGCCGCACACCGTGGGGCCCGCGGTAGTCCACGACCTCGCAGGCGGCCTCCTCCTCCCCCTCGCGACATCCTCGTTTTCGCGACCTCATCCGCATCTGCAGAGCAGAGGAACCACCCTCATAGAAAACACCACCCCGACAAGCGAAGCCGTCCAGTAAACGCGCCCAAGGAAGGAATCGAGCAAGACGGAGCTGTTCAGTAAACGCACGGGGACTTTTATGAAACGCCAAGTATGGGGGTCAGGGTGGCTTTCCTCCCTTGACTATCCACGGTAGTCGAGATGGGCGAGGAGGGGATGGGGGGGAAGAAGGAGTGGGACTGATAGGAGGAGACGATGAGTATCGTTTAACCGATCCCCATCCCCAGCGGCGTGGCCTGGGCCCCACTGACTGATGTACCCTCCTAGATGGTGGGGATATAGGTCGTTCCCTGCGGGTTTCGAGGGGTCTGTCCCCAACTGGGGGTTCATTTCGTGGGGGTCTCGAAGGGGATGGGGATGGGGATGGGGGTCGGAGAAACGATACTGAAAGGAGAGTGGAGGACAACAAGCCAGGTGCGCTCGCGCCATCTGTGTGACATCGTACCCCTCCCACCCGTGCCTTCCCACTGCGCAGCCCGTTTCTCCTCCCGCCGACGGGCGCCACACAGCGGACGTAGAGCCGAGGGCCTTGCCTCTGCCGGACAGATCGCCGGCCCCGCGCTGCTGCCCAGCTCCCGCCGCTCGTCGGGGATGCCCGTCCGATTGTTGAACGGGCGCTTGTTAAACGGCCGCTCGTAGGGGATGCCCGTCCGCTTGTGGAACGCAGGGCTGAACCCAAAAGGCGTTCTTCGTTTTCGTGTTGTTTTCGTTTTCCCTCGTTTTGGCTTCAATCCACCTCTACCGCAAAACGAAGTCGAATCGAAAACGGCCCACGTAATCGCCAAAACACCGTTTAGGTCCAGCCCTGGTTGAACGGGCGCGTGCGATTCGCGTAGCTGGCGCCACTGCCCAGGCCCACGAACACCGTCCACACCGCCGCCAGCGGCAGGACGCGGTCCAAGGCCCCAAGCCGTCGCGCAGCGCCCCCTGAGGACCTCGTTGGTCCAACCCACCACGTTGAGACGCCTGGACGAGAATTACCAGCCTCGAACTTGTCCCTATCCCTAAGATTGACACGCCAAAAGGCGATGACAATCTTAGGAATCCGCCCTCAAAAAATAAGTGAATCCCTAAGATTGGCATCGTGATGAGGCGATGCCCAGCATAGGGATAGGGATATGTTCCAGGCTGGTATGAGGACGCCGAACATCGCGACGGAGAGCCTCGACGTGGTCGCGCCCACGCTGCAGCCCGCCAGCATCTGCGTGTTCGACCGTGGACCCCTCGTGACCCATCGGCATCGGGCGGTCTCCGGCGGTCTTCGACGCGAAGGCTGACTGCTCGGGTTCAGCCAGGGGTACACGATCGAACACCTAACAACATGACCTGGCGCCAGCCCTTGTGAAGCGCAGAGCGTCTCCCGATCGTCCAGGCCGGGGAACATCGCGGTCTCCGGCATGTGCACAGCCAGCAACTGCGCTGCGACACCGCCCTCGCACCTGGCGCATGTGCGCCAGAAGATCTGGACGTCGCCCTCGCAGTCGCGAGCGGGAGAGGCCTGGCCCTCAGGAAGTCCCACGCCCGGCCAGCGGCGGCGCAACTGGCAGCGAGCGCGCACCCCCCATCCCCAGAGCATCCCCTTCGTCTGCAAGCGAGGGGAGGAAGTGAGAGGGAGAAGGCCTTCTCTCAGGGCGGAGGGACGTCTCAGAACCCACCGCGACTTCCGAGAAATCTTCTGCGCCTTCGGGGAAGACTCGGAACACTTCTCAGAAGGACGGAGGACTTCCGAGCCTTTTGAGAAGCCCCGCCCCTTCTCACTCCCCCCCGGGCTTGCCGCCGACCTCTGTAGCCGCTCACTCTCGCGACATCTCACGGCACATCTGTGTACGCAGGAGAACACGGCCAAACATACGGGGAGCATGGGCAACAGTAGGAAGCAGACTCCCTCGTTGCCCAAACCCAGCGGCCCCGACAAGGGCATGTACAGCATGATCTCCACCACAACAAGCCTGTCACAAGAAACCCAACTCTGAAACCCCAGGACGTCCAATCATTTTGTTTGGGGACGTCACGCTTTCCAGAGCGAAACCATCAAGATCCAAGAAACCGAGGGCACCCTGGAGGCAAGCAGGGTGTTTCTTGGCATCGGTTTCCACAGTACAGGAGCCTCCCCGCGATACCATCGACACCAGTTCAAGCTCCTCAGCCGCCCCAAGCTCTGGCCGGGGAAGGTCTTGAGGAAGCCCAAGATAGTACACTCGCCAACTGACACGACGACGCCGCCGACACACGAGAACAAACTGGCCAAATAGAATCCCGCCCTGCCAACTTCGCCGTCCATCCTGGCCGCCAGAGCTATACCCGCATACGAGACGGCACTCATCGCCAGCATGATGAGCACCCTGATGCACAAACAAAGCCCGTTCAGCAGCTTCGCTTCCCAGAAGTTCCCCAGCGCCCCGCCCACGAACAAGCGCGTGAGCACCACCGTGGCCTCGCTCTCCGTGTGGAAACTCTTGGCGAGATTCTGGCTCGCGGCGCTGACGACACACCGCCACTAGACATTGTTGAGCACGCCGATGGCGGTCACGGCAACGAACGCCAGCGCGAAGACTGGCACTTCGACCAGGTCCTCCTCGGCTGCCGGGAGCCCCGCCGAAACACGGGCGCCGCGATGTGGAGGCCACACCAGCCGCAACTGCGGGAGCTGTGGACCTTCTCCCATGGGGGGAACCCAGCCGCATCGGCGGCCCTCTCGAGAGGTCGCCGATGCGACCCAGCGGTCCTCGGGAAGTGTGTCAGCGCAATGTGTGCTCAGCCTGCTCGGCTCCGCCGATGACACGCAGCAGTGCCGGCCCTCACTGCAAAACCTGCGTCATACTCAAAGGCTTCGGCCCCTGGTGGCACTCGTCGCCCGATGAGGTTCAGCAGCAAGTGTCTCCACGCCAACGTGTGCTGGCCCACTGAAGCCAGGAAAGGCCAGAATCGAATCGACTAGTCGGACCTGCGATCGAAATGGATCGGATCGGCGGAAATCGGCAGCCGAGTCGGGAGGAGTCGAATCGGCGGAAATCGGCAGAGCAATAGGGCCACATCGAGGAATCGGCATCCAAATCGGAATCCGAAGTCGAATCGAATCGGAATCGGAAGCCATCGAAGTAAAATCGAATCGAATCGGAGGAATCGAAACGAGCCCTGCCGAAACACTTCAATACGAAGTAGGCTGTATAATCAGGGCCGACACAGGCTGCGTGCTAGCAGTGGAGCTGGACGGGGTGAGGACAGATTTGGTGATATGGCTCACACGCGTTCTAAGGATCATCGAGCCGTCTCGGCGATCTCTCGAAAAAGCAGTCTTAGGTCGGGCGTGTCCTCCTGCAGGGGGATTGTGGATGACAAATGAAGCAGAATCGAACAAATGCTCAACACATGCGCAGAAATACTATACAACCATCGTCGCCAGACTATTGTGTTTGACTATGTTCGAAAATTCCTCATGTAGAGGGACGCGCCCGACGCAAGAGAAGTCAAAGCCATTGGGTCCCGAATGGGAGAAGGACCACAGCTCTTCCAGTTGTGACTGGTCGGTGGAGCAGCTGCATCGGCCACATGCCCACTGCGGCGCACGCGCGCCACATCTATCAACCAACCCCTCCCATCCACTCCTTCCTTCCAGCATGGTTGCTTAAATCTGCCGAAAAGTGACCTAGAGGACATGGATCCCCCAAAAGACTCCATCGTGCGATGCGCAATTCGAGAGGAGAGCTATTGGAGGAAGTGGCGGATGAAGAGGAGGGTGATCAGGAGAAAGAGGAAGAGGGGGAGGAACAAGGAGGAGGAAAAAGGAAGATCAGCAGCAGCAACAGCAGCGGGGTTAGGAGAAGCGGGAGGGGCAGGAGGATCAGGGGGACCAGGGGAAAGCGGAGGAGGGGAGAAGAGGGAGCGACAGCGACAAGGAAGGAATCGAATCCGCAAGTGCGCCGGTGATAGCGAAGGGGCGACGTGCCGACCCTGAAACGAAGTCAACGTTGCAGCGAGCGGACTTTTTGACAAACCACAGACGCCCCGATCGAGCAAGCAGTGATAACGAGCAAAGATCGTAATCCTGTGGCGTAAGCTCACATAAACACACTTAGCGGTCGCGGCCTCGCGCGCAGGTACGAGGCGGAGAACGTCACCTGAACAACTCGAGAAAGCGCGCAGCCGCCCCCCCAGAAGGTAGGGCAGGAACCCAGGTAGGATCGGCCATGCCGTGCGCATTGCCAAGCATGAACCCAGATAGGGTAGGAACCAAGATAAGCATCCAGAAGATAGGGCAGGAATCCAGATAGGGCAGGAACCCAGAAGATAGGGCAGGAACCCAGATAGGGCAGGGACCCAGATAGGATCGGCCATGCCGTGCGAGGGTGAAGCCAGGGTGGCAACCACACTGGTGCGCAGCGCGGCCAGACGGCAGCAACGAGGAAGCAATGAAGGCGGGACAGTGGAGCGGGCAGCTCGACAGCGAGGGCCACTGCAGCAGACCTCAGCAAGGCGAGGCAGGACGAGGCCCATGCAGCTCAGCACGGCGACTGGCGGGGCAGGAATCGTTCAGAACGGTGCACGGGCGAGGAGCGGAGTAAGCGTGGATGCCCCCATCGGCCCAAACGGGCAAGGCAAGGGAGGCGACACGCCGAAAGTGGGGCAGCAAGGAAGAAAAGCGAATCGGGGGGCGAGGGCGGGGGAGAGGAGACGGGCGGGCGGACGGTGCGCAAGCGGCCGTCGGTAGCGGAGAGGTCGGGGTCGGCCGTCTTGGCGACGCCATGGAGTGCCTGGACAGGCAGTGCCAGAAAGGGGGCGTCGTCAGAGGCGTAGGGGGGGCCGAGCCGGGAAGAACGCTGGGAGGACCTGCATGTGCTGGTAGGGCCCGACAGCGAGCGCGTCTTCAGCATCCCGCTGAGGCACTAGGGAGGGTGATCCTTGCCACTAGCCTGAGCGGATGGGCAGCTTCACGGCCGGACTACTATGGAAGGCGCTCCGCGATTGTCCTGCGATGCAACATGCAGCACGTGGCGCTGTGTGTCTCGGCGGTCGAGGTCTGGCGCACTGCTGTCCGGCGGCACCACCATACAGTCCCTGGGCGGGAAGTAGGGGGGTGAGGAGGGGTTGGCGAGGAGGAGGTTGGAGGAGGTCCTTGCCGCGTCCCACGAGGAGGTTGGAGAGGAGGTGGAGGGTAGGTTGGAGGAGGTTGGAGGAGGAGGTTGGAGGAGGAGGCGAGGAGGAGGTTGGAGGAGGAGGTTGGAGAGGAGGAGGAGGGTAGTCCTTGCCGCGTCCTACGAGGAGGTTGGGGCTTCATCTAGCCGGGTCAGGCGCACGACGGACAGGGTACGGGGCCAGCGACGGAGACGTCCCAGCGTAGTGCTCCTAATTACGCGGCGTGGGCCGCGAGGGTCTCCAGCAGGGGAGAACCTTCCCGCATGGCGGTGGTGCACCCCACTGGTAGTGAGCTGGGCGCAGAGTATAGCGCCTCGTCCTGGTGTTTCTGCATGACAGGGGGGGGCACGCGGCCCGTGGCCGAGGGGAGCTCTCCCGTCCGCAGCAGCGCCTGCTGTGTAGCTTGGGGGTCGCCAAGAGATGCGGCGGTGACCGCCCCGCGCACCGCTGTCCGGCCCTGGCGCCCCCCCCCACCGCCCTGACACAGGAAGGAGTGGAGTGACGAGGCCACCAGAGGATGAGTGGCGAGAGGTCCCGCATCCCACCAGCAAGTTGGGGGCCCCCCTCCTCCAGCCGGACCAGGCGTGCGAGGGACGAGGTGCGGGGCCACCGCCGGGGCGCGGAAGGGCCGAGCGGCAAGCAGGCACGCAGCCCGTGGGCGGGGATGGGCCATCCGACAGTGGCCCGTTGGTGGTTGCACCCTCGTGCTACCTGCCGGGAGGGCGCGGACATGGGCGGCTGGGCCGCGACAGGTCGCGCGAGGCACCCCGCTTCTGCGAGCTCCGTTCCTCCATCCGCGCCGTGCGCGCGGCAGTCGGCATCCGCGCAGTAGTGAGTATCGTGCATCCGATCCCCATCCCCAGCGGCGTGGCCTGGGCCCCACTGGCCGATTTCCCACCCTAGATGGGGATTTAGGTCGTGCCCCTCGGGCTTCGAGGGGTGCATCCCCAGCTGGAGTGGTAATTTGGTGGGGGTCCCGAAGGGGATGGGGATGGGGATGGGGATCGGTTAAACGATGCCGATCTGGCCGGGAAGCGATCGATGATGTGGAGAGAGCCGTGCAGAGGCGGGCGCCAGCCCACACCGGGCAGGGACGCGTGCTCGTCCGGCGTCGCGGCACGGCGGCTCGGGCGGAGCCCGGACCGGCGGGCGTGGCGCGGTGGAAGTATGATTGAAGGGGCCCAGGGACACACGAGTGAATACATTCCCAGGATTCCCCCCGTTTCTCCACATCTTTTGGACTTTTGCCCACCCCCCTCCCACTTGCCATAGCTTTGGGGTCGACGATCCATGGTGTCTGTGCGTGTCTTCCCCATCCTGGGTATGCGCACCGGGCCCCGGCGCCCGGGCTCGGGCGCTCTCGTGAGCGCGAGGGGTGGCGTGCCCGCGCAGGCGGCGGCGATGGCGGCCAGTCGGTGGGCCGCCCGGCTCTTGCGCGCCAAGGTCGGGCCGGGCGGCAGGGGGGGATAGCAGAGGGGGGGGTTTGAGAATCAGCTCACGTAGCTGATTTTCCCAGCGCCTCCCCGGCGCCGGAGGCGACTGTGTATCGAGGAATGGGCCCCTCGGTGAGGGAGAAGCCAGCTGCGTGCAGCAAATTTCGTAACCAATCCCCCCCGTTCGTCCGGCCCGACAAGGGCAGGGGCGCTCACCACCTCAGCCGGGGGGAGGAGTCGGTGGAGGTCTGCTGGGCCGCAGCGAGCGCCTCCCGCGCGGGACGAGGGGCCCCGAGGGGGGGTGGGGAGGCGCCGCTAACCACACACGCGCACAGACACACACACACACAGGCACAGACACACACACACAGGCACAGACACACACACACACACACACGCACACACACACACACACACACACACACGCACAAGCACGCACTTTTTGAGCGTCGCGGCCTGGGGCGAGGCCGCTAGGTGTAGCTGAGTCCCGCGGGCGCGCGCGCTGGCCAGAGAACAAAAGCGCGCACGGCGGCGCGGGGGCACCGGCGGCCCGGTGGGGGGGGGGGCGCAGTGGGGCCGCGGGCGCCAAACGGGCGGCCAGCGCCGGCAGCAAGGCGGAAACAGGAAGCAAGTTAAGATGGATCTGATAGCTTTAAAACAGGAACAGGGGGAAGGTTCTAAGCGGATTCAGGTGTATCTAGACGTCTTCAACAGTGTTTTGACACTAAAACAGGACACTAAAACAGGGGGCGGCGGCTGCCAAACGGGCGACCGCCGCAGCTGCCGCAGAAGCGTCCATCGGCAGCAGGGCAGGCGCAGCAGCGTCGCCGCTGCTGCGGCAGCAGGAAAGGGCGGCACCTGGGTGAGGCGGTGCACCCAGTCGGTGGGCGATCGGCACGACGTGGAGCTGTCGACGATCCGCGAGCCACGGCGAGAGAAAAAACGATACACCAACACCCACGGAGACAGTGGACATGAAACTTTCCAGGCCCGACAGTTCCATATCCAGCCTCGGAGTGAACGACGAGGACGACGACGACGTCGACGAGGAGAAGGAGAAAAGGAGGCGGCGGCGGCGGCGGCGGAGAGAAGGAGGAAGGGGAGGAGGAAGGTGTAGACGGAACCAGCATGAGAAAAGCAGGCGGGACGGGGCGGGAAGCGAGAGACGCGCCTCCCGGAGCGCCTGCCCCTCGAAGCAGATGCAGGTGCCGTCCATGAAGACACCCTGCCCGCCACGCCACGACACGATGGTACAGTCAAAAACCCTAATAAGGACGCGCGGTAAGGACGCAAGACCCTTGGAAGCCGAACTTGGGATTTTTGGGGCGGCGGACGACGAAAACCTGAAGGACGCAAGAGCAAGGAAGAGCAAGGACGCAAGGGTACCCTGAGCAAGGTACCCTGAGCAAGGGTACCTTAAGGACGCAAGAGCAAGGACGCAAGGGTACCCTGAGCAAAGTTGACTGTAACGCCGACGACTGCGGCGGCGGTGGTGACGACCGCCTCTCGAGGTCCCCCGAGGCTTCTGGGGGTCCCCGGGCCCCTGGGGGCACGGAAAGAAGACGCACAGAAGCTACAATCCTCGATGCTCTACAGGGCAGTTTTTAATACATAGGATTTTTAAACATGTATGATATTAATACATGATTAATGTATGAATCAATTTACGCATGAGCTCACCGTTGTTCTTAATACTAAGTCCCTGCATTTTTACTACATGATCCGCACGCGGAGCATGTATCAAAAACGGCACTGTAGGCTGGAGCGCAGGCAACAACGACAACGACGACGACGACGAAGACGACGAAGACGACGAAGACGACGACGTGGGTCCTGGTCAGAATTTACATATCGGAGCTCTCCTGGGGCGCGTTCTGGCCAGAATCTGGCAGCGTCCTGGCGTGGCGACGGCGGCGCCTCGGGATGCTGAGAAAGGACTCAGGATGGGCGTGCCGAAATGGGTGTGGGTGACGCATGCGGGCGGTGGCACTGTGGCCTTCGGTGGAGCTCCGTATGCGGCCACGAAACGCTGTGCTGGGTGGGTGACACGCAGGGAGGAGGGAGGAGGGGGAGGAGGGGGAGGAGGAGGGAGGAGGAGGAGGAGTGAGTGACGCGGGGCGCTGTCTCTTCAAAACGAGGGCCCAACACCGCAGGACGCTTGGGAAAAGGGACTCAGGAGCGCCCAGCCTCGGACCTCGGACCTCGGACCTCGACCGAGGACCCACCGATCGTCGAGGGGCCGGTCGATGATCGAGGCCGAGAAAAAGGCCCAGGAACTCCCCCAGAACCTCCAGTCACGCAGAGCGCGCCTGCCCCATCTCCTGGCGAACCCGTGCCAGCTCGGCCTCCAAACTGTCCTCGGGTGCGCGATTGCGAATCCTCCCGGGGGGCTCCCCGCGGCCTCGCGCGCATTCGAACCCAAGATCCACAGTCTACGCTCACTTGATCCTTCTTCGACTATATCCGGCGTTCGAGACTTCCGCGAAACTTTCGTCCACGACTTCGACATCCTGCAATGCTTAAACGGATGGAAGGCATATCCTTCTCAAAATGACGCTGCCCCTGAGCCTGCTTCAAAGGCTCTCGCATGGGACTTCCGGGTAACTTACATACACGACCTTGACAACAACGCAGAACGGGATTGAGTGCACGTGCTTCTCAAAATGGGGTCTGAGCGTCTTTCGAGTGGAAGGACGACTCTTTACAACAGGCGCCATCGTCTAACTGGCGGCCCGACCGGCCGCTCGTCATTCAAGGGGGGGCACCCGCAAAGGAACGGAAGACTTGTACGGACTTATGAGGGGACTTGGGATGGGAGGATGCATTTCAGCATCGGTTGATTAATCTTGGGTTCACACTGGTCCTCCTCCTCCTCCTCCTTCCTCCTCGCCGTCATCCTCATACTCCTCATCATCCTCATCATCCACCAACTCGACCTGTTTCTCCTCCTCCTCCTCCTCAGTCTCCGCCTCTCGAGGACAGACGACAGAGGCGCCTGCACGCTCCCTTCCTCGCCAGAGGCCTCCGGAGGCCTCCAGAGACCTCGCCTTCCTGCTCCACTGGCTAGCAGGTCGTCCTCCTCGCCCTCCAGCGCCTCCAGCTGCGGCACACGCCCTCGGGCCCTCGGCAGGGCAGTCGGCACCGCTACTGAAATGCTTCCCAGCGTCCTCGGCGTCGAGGCCGGTGTGTCTGGGCGGGCGTGAGCCACAGCAGGAGCTCGACCACAAGAAACCTTCCACAAGAAACCCAGCCCTGAGACCCCAGGACGTCCACAGATTTCTGGTGTGGGAACGTCACGCGTTCCAAAGAAAGCCATCGAAACCCAAGAGACCCAGGGCACCCTGGAGGCAACCAGGGTGGTTCTTAGCATGGGTGTCCACTGCATGGCACGCACGGCTGCGGCATGGAGCGCCGCCATCGGCAACGTCGTAGCCACCGCCATCGCGGGGATCGAACCGACTCCACTACCACAATGAGTCGAGACGAGCCCGTCTCATGGATACACTGACCTGGCAAGAAACCATGGTTTTTCGACTCCGAGTGGCCAGAATATCCAACAGGTCGGCTTGGGCCATCGTGGTTACAGACCACACTGGGAGCAAAGGCACGGTTAAAAAGAATTCAAGCTAACAGGCCAATTTCAAAGTTTCACACACGAGGCCACTCTACGCCACGATAATATGACACTGACTTCCGCGGGCAAATTTTCCTGTGCCTTCAAGGAGGGTGGCGGTGTGTTAACTCGGTGGCTCTGAATGGTGATTCATACATCGCAGCCCTCCCCTGAGGCCTAGAAACAATCCGTTGGCTGTGTCCGTTGTTCCATGGCGAACCCTCCTCATCCTCTCCCTCCCCATCCTCGTCCCCCTCCCTGTGAGAACAGCACTGTGAAACATCAGTAACAGGGTGGTAGCCAAATTAGAAAGCTCATCGCCAGGCATGTGAGCGCCTGCTAAAAACACGAGACACCTTTCCCCACGATGTCCGCTGCGCAACTGCTGGTAACGTTCAAAAGCTAGTGCCATGAAAGGTGCCAATGCAACGGAACCGACGCAAGTAACAAGCCCTCCTCGTCCTCCTGCCTGCTCATGCTGCATGTGGCCTTCATCCTGTAGTTCTCGAAACTCGGATTGTGGCTGCGGTGAAGCGACAAGCCGCTTTGCAAGCTGCCCTGTAGCCGCCTTGGCACCTCGGCGGAAGTATAGCAGGCACGCCTCCTTCGTCCCCCTGCTCCATCCCCACCACATCCTCCCCTTCCCGTTCCTCCTCCTCCTCCCCTCGTGCTCCTTTCCACCCTCCCCCTCCTCCTCCTACTCCTCACCCTCGCCCTCACCCTCACCCTACTCCTCTGTTCTCCTCCTCCTCCTCCTCCTCCTCTGACAGGGAACTTCAAACTCAGAATCCACCGGATGTGTTGTTCCTAAGAAACAACTCCACCGAGCACCCTGGCCTCCTCCTCCTCCTCCTCCTCGGAATCATCAGCATCATCATCATCATCATCATCATCATCATCATCATCATCATGATCGTCATCATCAGAATCATCATCATCATCAGCATCATCATCATCATCATCATCATCATCATCATCATCATCATCATCATCATCATCATCATCATAATCTGCATCATCAGCATCATAAGCATCATCAGCATAGTCAGCATCATCCTCATGATCGTCATCATGTTCATCATCAGCATCGGCAGCATCATCAGCATCATCATTACGTTCAGCACCAGCATCGTCATTAACCTCAGTCACATCATCATCATCATCATCATCATCATCATCATCATCATCATCCTTCACCTCACCACCAGAATCATAAGCATCTACATCGTCATCATCATCAGCATCATCGCCACACCAGCCTCATCATTATCAGCAGCAGCACCACTATCACCATCATGATCATCAGCAGCAGGTCGTCATCATCATCATCATCAGCAGCAGCATCATCATCATCATCATCATCATCATCATCATCATCATCATCATCATCATCATCATCATCATCATCATCATCATCATCATCATCATCATCATCACTGCCACCATCATAATCAGCAACACCACCATCATCATCACCTCCGCCATCACAACCATTGCCAACACCGCCACAACCATAACCCTTCCTCCTCGCCCCTCTCGGTAGACTGGCACAGTCCGCGCACTCTCGACAAAGTCCGGCAGGCAGGACCGGTTAGCATCGAAATCGGGGAATCGAACGTTGACCAAAACGCGTGCCCGATCGGGCAGCAGGGACAGACAAAAGTTTCAGAAAAAGGACGAGGAGGAGGAGGAGGAGGATGAGAACGAGGAGGGGAAGGAGGAGAACGAGGAGGAGGAGGTGGGGGGAGGAGGAGGAGGAGGAGGAGGAGGAGGAGGAGGAGGAGGAGGAGGAGGAGGAAGAGGAGGAGGAGCAGGAGGAGGAGGAGGAGGGGGGGGGAGGGAGCACAGAACAGCGAAACGTGCGACCTGATTGGAGGGAGAGCGGGAGTGCGGTATACGGAAAAGGGAAGAGCGACCACCCGCTCGAAAAGCATTCCTGGTGCCCACCATCTGAGAGGAAGGAATCATCCAAGCCGCACGGCGGGCCTCCACACGGGCCCGATCCACAACCCAGACACCCAAGGGAACCAACTCCCTCCCAAGAGAGCCCAGACAGCGCCAGGCCTCCCGGGAGGTCTGGCTTCGGCCCGGGCCCCGAAGGGCTCCCCGAGCCGGGGGCCGACGGCAACGCGAAGTCCTGAGGCACAGGACCTGAGCCAGCTGAGGGTGCCGCTTGGCGGGCCTAGCTCAGGGTCAGGCTGCAGCTCCATAGGCCTAGCTTGGATGCAAAATCCGCCGACCCTGTCAGCGTGTGAAAGACGCGGCTCGTCGTCGTCAAGACACTGTTCGTCGTGAGCCTCATCGTCGACGTCACCGCTCACACGTCGAGAGCCTCGTCGTCGACGTCGCCGCTTCCACGTCGAGGTCGCCGCTCTCGCTCCTCTCACCGGTCGAGGGGACGCCCCTCCCCTTTGCTCCCTCCCCCGGGGCGGGGGGTGGTCCCGGGGGGGGGTCCCCAGCGGGGGGGGTCCCCGGGGAGGGGGGTCCTGCGGTGGGTCCCATGTCGGAATGCCATCCCCCGGGGGGTCCCGGGGCCCAGAAGAGCCCCAAGACGGCCAAGGGGTCTCCTGGACGGTCCAAGATCAGGGCCCGAATCGCCGAGCGATCGATCCAAGACGCCAAAGTAGCCTCCAGACGGCCCATGAGGTTTTCAAGACTGGCCCAAAGACGGTCCAAGGGGCCCCCAAGACACCCTAAGAGCGCCCCAAGAGGCGTCGCAAGAGGGCCCCAAAGGCCAAATCATAAATCTTCGTTAGTTTCTGACGGATTGTTGCGTTTCTGCCTTTTCGGCTTTCCGACACTCCACCACCGCCCAAGAAGCCTCCAAGATCGCCCCAAGACGGCCCAAAAAGGCCCCAAGACGGCCCCACGAGGGGCCCCAGAGAAGGACCGCGAACGGCAAACTCGAGCCGTCCGCCCCAAGAGGCCCCCAGGAGGCCCCAATAGGCCACCTAGAGGCCCGAGGCCTCCAAGAGACCCCCAAAAGGCCCCAAGAGGCAAGAGGCAACCAAGAGGTCCAAAAGAGGCTCCAAGAGGACTCCAGGAGCCCAACCAACAGGCCCCCAAGACGCTCCCAAGAGGCCCCGAAACTACCCCCGTCGGCGTTGTGCCCGTCGTCGCCGTCGCCGTCGTCCTCGTCGTCGTCGTCGTCGTCGCCGCCGCCGTCGTCGTCGTCGTCGTCGTCGTCAGGGTCGGCGGCACCTGCCGCAAAGCCTTCACAATAATCCGTGCCTACCTCTGACAACACCGACCGGACACGGAGATGCTTCTTCGCGGCATGCAGGCTTCGAGAACCATCTGACGCGAGGAGGCTCCTAACCCAATGGCCCCCGGGGTTGCAGATCGCTCCGCAACAGGAGCAAAAAGGCAAGGACCCGCTAGACTTTCATCCTCAGCAGCCTGGAGCCACATGGCCCCTGGAAGGCCACGCACGCAGAGAGGGCCATTCCACCCTCGCGGGGTCAGGTGGCAACACTCCGTTGTCCACCTCCCCCCCCGCCACCCCGCCCGCTCCACCCAACTCCCGCCCACCACGGGAGGAAGAGGAGGCGCACGGTGGGGAGGAGAGTCCGAGACAGGAGAGGGAAAGGAAGAAAACGCCTCCAGCGCTTCGCTGCGATCGACCGCTCGCCCCCTCCCAGCCAGTGCTTCTTTCTCTGATTCTGCGGGCCAGATCCTGGACACCAATGCAAACCAGACGAACTTGAAAAGGGCCCCTGCGGACTCGTGTTTTCTCTGCTGAGTCAGCGTTCGTGTGCTGCTCCGTTCGTCCTCGTCCTCGTCCTCGTCCTCCTCTTCCTCTTCCCCCTCTTTCAACTCCTTCTCCTCATCCTCCTCCTCATCATCATCAGCATCATAATCATACAGGTCATCATCAACATCAGTAGCATCAACATACGCATCACAATGACCATCATCATCGCCAACGACAGCAGCACCCACAACATCGTCATCCTCCTCAGCATCGTAATAAGTTGCACAAAGATCATCATCGGCATCAGCAACATCAGCAATCATCATCATCATCATCATCATCATCAGCATCATCATCATCACCACCACCATCATCATCAGCATCAGCAACCTCATCATCAGCATCAATATCGTCATCATCCTCATCGCCATCGCAATCGTCATCGGCATCGCTATCGGCGTCATCCGCATCATCAGCATGAGGATCATCATCATCATCATCATCATCATCATCATCATCATCATCATCATCTTCTTCTTCTTCATCATCTTCAACTTTATAATAAACATCACCCCAAACCTCAACCTCAACCACCTCCGCCTAACCTGTATTCAACACCGTAATCATCATCATCACCACCACCACCATCATCATCATCATCAGCGCCATCAGGTCAATAACCACCATCACCATAATCGTCCTCATCAGCATTATAAACAGCGGCCTCATACTCATCATCAGCATAATCATCAGCGACAACATCATCATCATCATCATCATCATCATCAGCAGTAACAACAATAGCAACAACATCATCATCGCCGTCAGCATCATCATCAGCAGTGCCAGCGTTATCATCATCATCACCCGCATCAACATCATAATCCGCATCCTCCTCCTCCTCCCCCTCCTGCTCCGTATCGCCATGACCAGCACCATCATCAGCATCAGCATCATCATCGTCAGCATCATCATCATCACCACCATCACCATCTCATCATCATTGTCATCAGCATCATCGTCATCATCACCATCATCAGAACCATCACCGCCATCCTCATCGTCGTCGTCATGAGCCTCCGACCTCTGGCGGCCGCTGGAGACGATCCAGGCACCCATCCACCCTACCTGTAGGTCGGCCTTGTCCACCTACAGGGGAATGTTGCACGACAAATAAACTAACACCCAAGAATACGCCATAAATGCTCGAAAATAGTCGAACATCGTCCCCAGACGATTGTTCTCACTATTTTTGAATGTTCCCCCCTGTAGAGGGACAGGCCCGACTTCACCCTACCACTACGGTGCCGCCACGTCCTCGAGGAAACGCCGCCGCATCGAGGACGTGGGCCTCCAAGACCACTCCAGAGCCCTCCCAAATCGAACTCGAGGCGCCCCGAAAAATTCTTCTCGAGCTTCGGCCCTGGAACATCGGGACCTCGACGTTCCGCAGGGAACTGGTGACTCCCCTACCCCGGGGTTCCCTTCTGAGCCCGTTCGGCCGCCGAATGGCCTGACGATCGAGCCAACTCGGCGGCCGCACATGCCAAGCCCTCTCGACCCCGTCGGAACTGATCCCGTTCGGCTGCCTATGGGCTCAGATGCCGAAAGAGCTCAAACTGGAACCCTGGGGTAATCTCAGGAGAGGCTATATCCAGACAGAGCTCTGACGGTGACCGAGCACTGCGTATGGGCTTGCCCCGTATGGCCTTGTTAGACTCCTAGAAGGTGACGCTTGATCCAGACGGAGGAAGCCCAGATGGAGACCGAGCACTCCGTATGGGCTTCCTCCGTAAGTGCTCAGCCTCCGCCGATGATCGTGACCCCTCCCCCCTGGGGATCTGGGACCGGAGCGCTGGACCGATGGCGCGAACGCGGGCGGCGCGCGCGCGCGGGTGCGGCCTTCTTCTCGCCGCGGGCGCGCCAGCGCATCTCGAACCGCAGCGAGCTCAGCGGCCTCACGACGGCCGGAAACACCTGCGGCGCGCGCGCGAGCGGCAGCGCCAGCCTGCGGCGCGCCTGGGCAGAGGGGTATATAGTACCCTCGCGGCAGGAGGCCCCGAGCAGCAGGAGCCGAGTGGGGCGTGCAGCAAAAGCTTTTTTGGCGGCGCGCTCAGGGGGTGCAGTCGGACCTGGGCCAGAAAGACATCTCTCAAGAACACGAGACCCTCCGCAGGCCAAAACTCACAGCACCTCCAAGGGTACCTACCCCAGGGTGCACAAGAGCATGCCGCAAGCACGATGGACGTCAGGGCACGCTTGCCGACCCGCCCCCGACCTTGTGCCTGGCCCGGCTGTATCACTGTCGACTGTACAGCACCCTTGGCGGTGGGCTGCCCCGAGCAGCAAGAGCCGAAGATTGAGGCGTACTCGGCGGGGAGCGAAGGGGGGGAAGTGAGAAGGAGAAGGTCTTCTCGGAAGGCGGCGGAGCTTCTCAGAAGGCCTCCGGTCTTCTGAGAAGTGTTCTGCGTCTTCGGGAAGGGCTTAGAATACTTCTCAAAAGTCCGAGTAACTTCCGAGCCCCTGAGAAGGCCCGCCCCCTCTGACTTCCCCCCCTCGCTCGCCGCCGAAATGCAGCAAGAGCTCTGCTGAACACGCGGTAGGCCATGGGGGGGGAGCAGCATGATTTGAGCAGGGACCGACCGTCCCGGCATGGGCCTACAGTGTTCTTCGGTCCCAGAAATGTTCTAAGAACAGAAGCAATATTCTCAGAACATCAACCCGATGCGTCAAAACAAGACCATATCGGCCAGACATGTTCTGATAACATTACGTTCAGACCACGAAGAATTACTTGAACCTTCTTTGACCTCACCCGTCCGCGATAACACATTAAAGCAGGTGTGTCGGCCTCAACGTTTTGATGTGTGCCAGCTGTGGGATGAAGAACGTGCCTGCTATATGGATTCGCCCGCGCAGATCGGTTCACAGTTGTGCGAAGAAGCCTTGAAGAGGCAAGGATCACCGAGAGGATCTTCAGCTAGTTTCCAGCACCTGCTGGAAGGCTGGGACATTGATTTGAGCGAGTGCGATACATGCGTCACGGTGCCTGATGTGATTGATGTCCTGTTGTCCTTGCATGAGCACAAGTCCCCTGGTACAACTGGTGTCCGCGGGCGCCTGTACAAACTTCATGCCCTTGTTCTTGCGCCTGTTTTCGTCGAAGCCTTCGCCGAACTCACGCAAGGCCGCTGTGCAGCACCAAGTCATCTAACCGATTTCGCTTGGTTTGCCATAATTACCAGAGCGGCAAGGTGCTGACACGGCAGCCTTGGTGAGAGACCTTGAGCTGCCAAACGAGAATGCCAACATTTCAGCTCGCTTTGTCGTAAAAATATTGGACCGGCGAGTTTCGGAGCAATTGCGACAGCGACAACAAGCTTTCGTGTCTGGCGGGCAGATAGAACGCAACGTGATTGGAATATCAGAAGCAGTTGCTTTAGCGCAGCGTGATCCGTCTTCGTTGCGTTTTCTGTTGTTTCTTGATTGCACGAAGGGGTTTAACACGCTGTCGTGGGAGTGGGTGCAGGCTGTCTTCCAGAAGGCGCGCTTGCCCCCCGCACTTGCGCATGGCATTTTCCAGTTGATGCACAATCACACTGCGTACCTGTGTTTCTCCGGCCACGTGTTCCCACCTGTTACCTTCGTCGCGGGATATAGCCAGGGCCACCCCTTGAGCGTTTTTGTGTACATAATCGCCGTCGACCCTTTCTTATGTCAGGCAAGGCAATTGCCTGGGGTCACGGGCATTTGGGGTTTCTGTGATGACTGGAACATCTCGCTCGCTGCCCGGCAGGCTGCTGAACTGGTGGTGCAGTTGATTGGAAACTTCGAGCGAGCGTCCGGTCAAGTGATCAACCCACGGAAAACAGCCTGGCTACCAAATAGGACGATGACGCCTGAAGAACGGAGCTGGTTGCACGGTATCTTCCCTGAGCCCCAAATCGTCCGTCAACACAAATCCTTAGGTTTTTGGTTTGGTCCCGATGCTGTGGAAGCGGATCTTTTGTCGGAGCCCATGGCGAAACTAAGGCAGCGCTTGGCACTCTTACGGCATACACGCACCAGCTTGGGAACGAGACTGCTGGCTTGGAATGTTTTCGCGCTCCCTTTGTTGTCATACATAATGAAATTTCACCTGCTCAGCCTGGCAGCCCAAACCGAAATCTGCGAGCTAGCGTTGTCATTCTTGGAACGTGTGCGTTGGTGCCCATTCCAAGTTTTCTGCCATTCTCGTGGACTCTTCAAAACGTTAGTTGAGGCAGCTGACCCCTTCCTTGCTAATATTGCTGCAATTGTCTCCACGTCTCTCCGTTTGGAGAGGAGTCAAGGAGTCGGAGCGCACAGCATTGCAGCATGGAGCGCGGACACACTTCGTGCCGGGCAAAGGCCAACTTTGAGGCCACTCACAAGCTTTGCTTCCGCTTTCCATGCTTTTCATGCGATAACGGGCGCCACGGTGTCTGACTCTCTGCGCACCAGAGGGCGCGGTGGTAGCAAACGTGCTGGGGAGGCCAGGGCGTACCGGCATTTGTATCGTGATATGCATGCGGCCGAGGCACACAGAGCAGAGCTTCTTGTACGCATGCGTCTCCAGGCCCGGGGTTTGAATTGGGACGCAGTCAAGAGAGACTTGAGGAAAATGCCGACGAGCATTCCAGGTGAGCACCGCTTAGCTAATATGCGGAGGATGCTCAACGGAGAGCTCACGTCTCGCCGGCTGGCGCCGGTCCTTAGGCGCCCAGTGTTGGCTTGTCCTTTCTGTTTCTGTGAGGAGGGGGATGCTTTGGACCACCGCGATTCTTGCCCAGCGTTGGCGTCATTGCAAGCACGATTTCCAGAGCCTTATACCAGCCTTACTTCGCAACAGAGATGGCTGCAAGTTGACCTGCCCAGTGCCTCTATCTTAGAGTGCGTTCTCGCTTTCACCAGCGTGGTTTCCCGCCTGCGAAGGCTATTGATGACCTGGTCCAACACGCAAAAAGATTATGCGCTGACCCGTGGATCACAGGGAGCCCTGTTAACTCTGATCGGCAGGAACGCCGACAGTTGAGATCCCGTCCGCCTGTCTTCGCACCCGATGCAGTTACATATGCTTCAGACGGTGCGGCGCGCAATCAGGGCACTGGCTCTCCAACTTTAGCCAGCTCTGGGAGCGTTCGCTACGAGCCAGGAGTGCGACGCATAGCGGCGTGTTTGGGACGATTCCTCGGAGATGTCACGAACAATTATGCTGAATATGCAGGTCTTCTTGAGTGTCTCCGGCACGCGTCCGAGCTTCCAGCTCCACGGATTGTTTTCTACATAGACTCGCTTCTCGTTGCAAGGCAAGTCCAAGGAGCATGGAGATGCTTGGAGCCCTCGTTGCGGGTGTTATACGAAGAGGCGCTGGCGATTTTGGCGGCCCTCCGGGCACGAAGCGGCGTCCTCGAGGTCAGAGTGCAACATGTTTACCGGGAGCACAACACCGACGCAGACGGCGTCTGCAATGAAATGTTGGATAGGGTGATGGTCGGGATGCCGGCATTAGTTGGTAATTGCCACGTGTCCGTGGGCTGGAGGCCGTAATCATGGCACTTACGTTTGAGCCGGGGCCGAGGCAAGATACCAAATGTAAGCATATACTCATGTTGAGGAACTTCCATGGTTTTATGTTCCTCTGATGCACCGATACCGTGACATACACTTCGGGCCCCCGAGTTGCCCCTCGCCGAGAGCTTGCGGGAGGGCGTCCGGAGGGCGTCCCGGATACGAATTCCTGGGAGTTCGTATCTTCCGAGTCCGGGTCCCAGGACGCGTTCTGGGCCAGTTTCTGTCTAATCGTCTCGAGGTCTGCCTGCTGCCCCTGCCCTCCCTCGTCTTCCGAGGTGGTGCGAGGCAAACCGGTTGGGCGCGCGAGCTCGGCCCTGCCTCTCCGACGGCGGAGGCCTCGTTTATGCTAGGGAGTGGGCCCCGCGTTACGGTCCACATGTGCTGCAAAGAAGAGAGACGACACCTGATCTGCTAGGTCGCTGGCCCCGTCTTACGGCCAACATTTGATATACCTTCATACGTTACAGACTTCGCACTTTCAGTTTTCCCTTGGACAGCGCATGTCCACATGATGTAGCTTAGCAATTGTCTACACTTGTGTACACTTGCGTTTGTAGTCCGGCGGGGACAGACCAGAGGATGTATTAACCCTGTAGTGTTGCCAGACGAAGCACTTAAATCTGTACCGCATGACTTTGCCTGAGGAGGAAAACAAAACAATATTCTCAGAACATCAACCCGATGCGTCAAAACAAGACCATATCGGCCAGACATGTTCTGATAACATTACGTTCAGACCACGAAGAGTTACTTGAACCTTCATTGGCGGGCCTATAGGCAGGCCAGGACGCTTCGCCACTGCTTGAATGAGTCGGGGGGGGGGAGGGGGGAGTATCGTTTAACCGATCCCCATCCCCAGCTGCGTGGCCTGGGCCCCACTGGCCGATTTACCCGCCTAGATGGGGATATAGGCCGTTCCCTTCGGGCTTCGAGGGGTGTATCCCCAACTGGGGTGGTAATTTGGTGGGGTCTCGAAGGGGATGGGGATGGGGGTGGGGATCGGTTATAAAGAGACGGGGGACACCATGCGGGGGGAACACCACGAAACACTGACCCGGGACCCCGACGGGCTCCGCCCTGGCCTCGGGACAAAACGCCTCTTCGGGGCGCACAGAGACGGTACGGTGGCAGACCCCCGGCGGCGACCTCGCAGCCCGCAGAGGCATCACCGCAGGGTCCGTCGCAACACGGTTTGGAACCTCTAAACGAGCGCGCTCCACTACTCGCAAAGTAACTAACTACTCGCAAATGGCCCGGATCCGCCACGGCGGATCTACGATCAATTCCATCGAAGCAGACATGTTGTGCTTCGGACGTTTGCGAGTAGGCACATTGCGAGTAGTGGAACGCGCTCGGTGAACCTCGGAGGCCCCAACTAGGGGAAC